AAATTCATTTTCACGCTCAATTTTGTTCCCTTTTCATCACATGTATTGCATTCAAGACTTTAATTTTTGTTCTTGCTTTGCAATTTTACACTTCGTTAACTTTCATTCTATGTTGCATTTCAGACCTAAAACTCCTTCGCTTTTACTCTAAATCTTTTGCAAGTTTGTTTCACTTAAAATTTGGCCGGTTTGGAATTCCAAGAGACAACAATAACTAAAACATAAAAAGCATAAAATTACATTAAATAAAAAGATAACTATGAGCTAAAATTATAGCTAATAATGAGCTAACCCTTAGTTCAATAAGTAAACTAAAGACTAACTCATAAATGAGCTAAAATTTCAGCTTAATTTTGATTGAGCATATAAACTCAAGGGAAGCCAAAATTCATATTATTTTGGACATGGGTTGACCCCCCCTTTGTCTACATCAAAAGTGTTAACTAGGGATTTGAATTTTGGAGGCAAGGGGAGGGGAAGGAGTTCGGCAGCTAGGTTAGGGTTAGGGTTGGAGTTTAGCAGCTTGGAGGTGGGAAATGGGGTGGTCGGGTAGGACGTGGTGGTGGTGGGGTACGGCTGAGAGAGGGAGAGAGGGATTTAGGTAGCCGGCGACTAGAGGGAGGAGGGTGTGGTGCAGCCAAGAGAGGGAGGAGGGTATTTGGCCGGTGAGGGGGAAGAGGAGGGGAGGATGGGGAGCGACGAAGTCGACCATGCATCCGAACGCTTCCTGCAATTGGTTGGTATTGCAATGCCCTCACCTAGGAACTTCAATCTCTCCAAGAACTCTCAAGCTCTCTAAAACACGTAAATGCAGAAATTTCATAATATCATTCATCATCCCCCTCAAAGGAGGCTTTAAATAGCTAATAAAATGAAGAAAAAAAAACAAAAAACAAAAAACAAAAGACCAACTTGCCCCTAGGGCATACACATGATTAGGCCCTCAAGTGAGGGCATAAAAGAAAATGTACAATAAAACTCATAAACATAATAAATTAATACGTCAGTAATAAGTCTAATACAATGATAATCAAAAGTAAAGCGGTGTAATCGTGGCCGTAGATTGACGGCCACGCCTCTGGTAGACTCTCCAAAGTCGGATGTCCTCATCACTTTCATTATATGTTGCATTTCAGACCAAAAATTCTTTTCGCTTTACTCTAAATCTTTTGCAAGTTTGTTTCACTTAAAATTTGGCTAACCTTGACATCTAGCCCACGTAGGGGCTTCAACAAATAGTGCTAGATATCCTCACCATTCTTAAAAAAGTGCGTATGAACAAAATTATGAGACACCAAGACCAAGGGATCTTCATATCCACAATGCCTAAAAAAACACATATAAGCCTTTATCACTTGCGCAATAAAATACACAAGATTTCTCAACCGCGTTAGCACTACGTGCACGAGTATTTAAGCACAAATTTCTCTGTTATATTAGAACAACACACATCAATAATTATTTTGTATTTTCACTGCCACATTGAAAAAAACAACACGAGTACTTAATTTTTTAGGTTTTGCATTATATCTTGTGAACAAGGCAACCGATGATGGCGAAATCCACTAGTTTTTTTTATCTCTCCTTTTTTATTTGAATTCCTTAGTTTTTGCTTTACCTTTTCTATTTTTTCCTCTCTTTTTTACTTTTTTTTTTTTTTTTGAGAGAGAAGGTTATGGGCCTTATGGCAGAGAGTGGGAAAGAGGGCAAAGAGAATGGAGTGAAAAAAAGAAAATAGAGAAGGTGGTACTAGTCGATGTTCGCACTACCATGAACAACAATGGAAGAAGTTAGTCGCTAGTGTTTTGAGAGTTGTTGTTGTGAGGTGGAAACATGAGTTAGTTGATGGTGAAGATGACGGATTGAGTAATTGAGATTGGCTAGGAGCATGAATTTGGTGATGAAGAGGTGTTATGGAAATGGGGATATGTTCGAAGGCTTTTGCTAAAGTTGTAATCATGTAAGTCAAAGAGGGTAAGTCTCTAGCTTGGACTTGTGAGGGACTATCGTCTGGGGTGTATCGAAGGATTTTGCTAAAGCTGCAATCATGCAAGTCGAAGAGGGGAGTCTCTAGCATCGGACTTGGGAAGGGACCATCAAATGGGGTGTAGGAAGAGAGAAACTCGATGGTTTGATAGATTGGCATACTAGAGATCGATAGAGAGGAGTGTTGCTAGCAATGTATTGTTGAGGTCAAGATCAATAAAGGGAAGGGACTGCGAGGCTAAGAGCCTTGGTACAGTGGGTCGCGTGCGTGAGTTTGGCAATGATGCAAGTGGCAAGAGTGAGCGAACTAGCAACCTATATGCAGGAACAGCTCAAGTATCAGAGAGCGGGCTCATGCTAGGTACAAGTAATGCTAAATAACAAGGTTGTGAAAACCGAACCGAACAATGAATCGGAAGGAGAGACTCACAATTCGGTAGTTCAAGTTGATCGAACCGGAGTTGAACCGAATGACGTGATAAATATGAAAATTATTTAAATGTCATCTAAATAGCATAATAATGATATAATTATGAAATAAAATAAATTTGGGGCTAAAAACAAATAATATTCATACATAAATAATATATCCTATAATTTTAAATTCGAACATATTTTATCATTAAATTTAATTCATTTTTATTATAAAATTACTTTACATATAAGTTTATAAATTTGATATGAATAATTTTTAATTTATGTTCTAGGTTTAGATACAATTTATACCTATAAATTATATACAAAAATTGCATTATAAAATTTCATCTATAAATTCATGGTATATCATTTATTATTCAAAAACTAATAAAATTTGTTTTTATATTATATAAATACAAATTATACATATAAGTGTTGCAGAAATGAGAATGCTTAGGTGAATGAGTGGCTTCACACTTAGAGATAGAATATGAAATGAGTTTATACGTTAAAAAGTTGGAGTAGCTCTAAGTCATAGATAAGATTAGAGAGAGATAGAGGTGTGAGTCAAGCTGACTCGTGAGTCAACTCGGGCTTGGCTCAATAAATGGCTATGAGCCCAGCTCGATGAGCTAACGAGCCAAGTTTGAGCCAACCCCGACTCGACTTGTTAGCTCACGAGCTAGCTCATTTAAAAAATAAACTTAAAATATATTAGGATTCAAGATTTTAAGTACAAAATTGTTGAAAATGTATGAAAGTTATGTTCATTTCTTTATATTAAGTTATTCTTTATTATTATTTTAAATAATTTCTCATTCTTTTTGCCATTTTATTATAATAATTGTTTAAATTATAATTATTTTCTCTTTTCATAATAATGAGCAGGGTCGTAAAGCCGGCTCGAACTCATTGAATAAAGCTCAAGTTCAAGCTCAAACTCAATGAATTAATCAAGCTCAAGGTTAAGCTAGGAGTGACTCGAGCACGGCTTGACTCGTTTACACCCCTGGAGAGAGCCGCATTAGATGGTTTGGACACATAAAATGCCAACCTTCTGATGACCTGGTTAGGAGAGTAGATGTATTAGATTCAGCATATGTTAAGAAATATTGATTTAGGCCTAAATTTGGTTAGAAAATAGTAAAAATGACTTTTTTTTAATTAGATTTAAATGAGAATTTGACTCTTAATAGGACACAATAGAGAAGAATGATTCATGTAGCCAACCCCACATGGGATAAAAGCTTGATGTTGTTATTGTTGTTGTATTACATTCAATCTGTATATAAAAAAAAATTGCAAATAATAAAATTTTTAATCCCACATACAATGCACAGGGTTATCTTCTTGTATGATATGAAGAACCTTTTGTTTAAAATTTTACCAAAAAAACTACATACATGGGAAATTAGCATAGGTCTTCCACTGCACATTGTGCACGTTGAATTCTTATCTAATTTAGGAAATATTTTAGATCTTTAAACTTCGATATAGGGTTAATAAAGCGAATGCACCGTTCATCTGGCTCCAACAGCCCAATTCAAAGAATGAGTTAAGTAAACAAAACACATGAAGAAATCTTGGTAAATTTCTTGGAACCTAAACCTGAGAGCAGTAAAAATTTCTATGAGATATAAAGGTTAATCAGGGCACTTACACAAAGTTGTAGTCGTTTCATTCTATATAAACATGCACCAGCTAAATCAAATTATTGTATGAGCAACCCAACTAACACCTGAGCTTCTCTACTTTGATGAAAAATATTTCAAGATATGCAATTGTCACATCAAACCTTCAAAGTTTGATGGTATAGCTTATCCCGTGCAACATCCCAAATTATAACTCTAAAATTCAAGTGAAAGCCTAACCGCTGCCCGGTCAAGATGTGAAAAGGCCACAGTTCATGTCATGCATTAAAATGGGAATGCTTGATGGAATTAAGTTGCAATGAGACAAACCATTCGGTAAATAGAGATGGACCGGAAGAACAATTTAGCTAAAGCTAAAACAACCCATAAAAATTGTTTACATGTATTTCAACTCTACAGCCATAGTCGAGATTATAAAAAAATATATATATAGCCACATTCCCATCCCAGACATAGCAGATTTTATTTTAAAACAACCTATAAGAACTGTGAAATCAAAACAAGAAATAGATGGATCATTACAACCGCATTCGGAAGAATTGAAGAAGGAATGGCTGAGTTGAAGAACAGTAAAAAATATTGCAATAAGAAAAATGCACTGGATGAATGTGCATATCACATATTACACACAAATGCAAGTTCACAGACTGTTTGTGGCATGTTTCTTTCCAATGAATCAATAAAGTTACGCAATTCAATAAATTGAGGGATCTATGGACTCAATCAAGTATGATGCACAAATTCTAATATTAAATTTTTGAAGACCAACCTACCTTGAAGAAAATATAGTATGTACATCATTGTCTCAGTATGAAGGTATCATAAAAACAAGAAAAACTGTTCTTATGAAAACCTGCGCTTCTTCAATCTTCGGAGAAGCAAAAGCAAAAACATGGAACATTAGAAAGATAAATGAAAATAAAAATAGGAGAAAGAAACACATACCGAATCATTCATCACATGTAATAGTTCTGTCTCTGGATAACTCAGTGCAAGTGGAACAGCAACTCCACCAATGAGCCAAGTGCCAAGAACCCCAGCAACAAATTCTGCAAAGGCTTAGCGACAATTCCTATACGTGTTTCTATTTAAAATTAAATTTTTAAGTATTTGTTAAATAATTTATTAAGATTCAATTAAATTTGATATTTATTATATAAAAAATTATGATTTAAGTTTTCTAGAATTATTAAATTTAAATTTATTAATATTATTTGTTAGGAAATTTACTGTGAGATAATTTTATGTCCTAGCTCTGCGCAAAATCTCGCATGCATACAATAAAAAAAGGATTCCGAGTGACCCTAGAATTTATATTAAAAAACTTGAGAAGCTAAAAATAAAATCAATGAGAATATTTAAAAGAAAATATTGGAATATTATAATTAAATTTATTAATACTTGGTTCCACACCTGGGGTATGACAGCCACCGACCATCCCCAGACCATTGATGATTCGTTGTCCGCTATCGAACCACCGCATGTCCGCCGATTATAGCCGGACCTCAGCCCGGCCGCCAACCATCATTGAACCTCTGCTGACAGCCACCAAACCTCTGCCCAACTGCCAGCATCGACACACCAGTCTGACCATAGTCGCCTGCTGACTATGGTCCTTCCGACGTTCATCTCCTGCCGATTATGGTCTCTCTGACTATAATCCCCCCAACCTCTGTCACTAGCCAACTACAGTCCATCGAACCTTCATCGCCCACTGACTAAAATCCCTATGACCTTCGTCGCAAGTCAACTACAATCCCTTCAACCACCGTCGTCTGACTACGATCCTATCAACCAAATGAACAAATCAACTCTCTTGAGAACAAACTCTTATACTATCATATTCTTCCAACTCCCACAATGTAATGCACTCTATATGATAAGTATTTTCTACATCAAGCCAAGACCTTCCCCCAAATGAAGAGTCTCTTTTAAAATCAACAATAAACACTAGTAGAATCAATTCAACTTGGCAAGACCTCATGCTTTTTTCCCTTTTTAGGATTTTTCATATAAAAATCTTAGTGTCTCTTATGACTTTTCCACCATCTCTCTTATCTTTCTGTGTGTTGGATCTTCATACAAAGCATGAATGTTAAACTTTATATTTCTCTACTATCACGAATGTTCCAGGACGCAACAAATTAGACAACGATTGTCAGAATATTATAGTCGAATGAAAACAATTCGATGATAGTATTTAGATTATCATAAAAGTAATATTGGTCAGACTATGACAACTCTGTCATTGCAATCAAGGATGGTTGTTGCTGACGATGATCATGGGTATCAAGTGTCTAGTAAAATACTAAAATCCTTCAAACCTCCAAGGCATCGCCCAACACACAGTCCACTTCATATTGAGATTGAAGAAATTTATGATTTTCTTAAAATAATAAATTGATAAATTTGGCCAAAGTTCAATAATACTTCATTGGACAGCTCATATCAAGCCCTTTGATCATAAATAATTCATTCAACACTTAAGTGTCGTACTTGATTCATAATTGAATAGTCTTAGGCTCATTTGATTCAACTCGTCGAGATGCTCAAATTAATTATAAGCACATAGATTCGAAGATTGTGATCCTTTAATTTTAGTTTTAAAATATATTTCAAATATTTGATTTAGGCTCAATTAGACTCATATCAGATCACATTTTGTGTCATTAAGTTACCTTCAATAATATGATCAATTTGACTATAAAACATGTTAAAAATAGAATTCAAAAGATTCTAAATTTAATTAAAAAATTTAATGTTATCTCCAAATTCATATTTGAACGGATGAATTTTCCGATCAATAAGATTTATTAAATCATTTTTAAATTAAATTTGATTTCTAAAGGCTGCCAAATATCCTTATTGTATTAGAAAATTGTCACCATTATTGGGGTCTCAAAATTAAGCAAAGATTAATAGTATTTATGTTGACTGGTTGATTGAAATAGTTGATCTGATCAACGTTAAGATAATTTAATTGATATATCATCAAAAAAATTATCTTGATCGGGCATGAATATTGAGGCAAAATCAAGTTGCGATCTTCCGAAATTAAATATGGAACAATCTGAACTCCGATTTCAGCAAACTTACAATCAAACTGAACATCTCAGAGCCGAATTGGATCCAAATCAAAGACCTGAAGAGCATTTGAAAAAGTTCAAACCATAAATTGGATGACCAAACATTTCTAAATGTGACATGCTTATAGTTAAATCGAGCGGCTCAACGAAATGAATTCAACGAGCCCAAGATTATCAAATTCTGATGTCATTAAGACATTCAAATGCCCAAATCAACATCGACTATCTATTCAAACTACTCCCAACTTACCCTTGATCTCCTAATGCCCTAAAAGAAGTAAATACTAATTAACACAATGTTTTACTACACTAATTAAAATAAAAATAAAATTTGTGTGTACATAAAAGATGGTCTCCATACACTTTTTATTTTTATATGTAATTTCAGTACAGAAAATCCATATAAGCAAGTAAGATGATTCCATAAGGTGGAGGACAACATGTGAACCATGTGAAGCTTAATCTAAAGATCAAATCAAATCCTACATATTTTTTTGCACTAATTATGTCACTTTCAAAAAGTATTTCTATACAAAAGTTATTGCATAGAAAAACGAGCCTTTGTTACTACCCATTTTCATAACAATTAAAAAATAGATAATATATATACAATGTGAGAGGATAAAGTTCAAAATGCAATCTATGGTAGAGATGAATCAAGCTTTAAGAATCAAATGGCTCAAATGTAAAGAGGACATCATCAATGGTAGGTAGGGGAAAAAAGGCTTTTTAGAGGGGCAAAATTGATTTTTTAGGAGGGCAAAATTGATTTTTTAGGAGGAAATTAGTTACCCTTATAATAATAAACCCAGGGGGAAAGAAAATCTTCTTTTTTTCCTTTTTCTGTTCTAGATTAGTTTGCAAAACCGGTATGTACAACTGATATCATATGGGAGTAGCGAAAGAACACCAAAACAAAAATATTAGCTCATTGCTGCTCTCCCGGGCCCACGTAGCATTTTCTTTGATGAAGCTGAAAAGAGCATAGAAGTTTAGAAAATGCAAAAAGAATTTTAAATAAAAGCAAGAGAAAGCAGATGTGTTATCCATACAATCTTCAATATCTTTCAACTGGTAATAGTGGGGAGCAATTTCAACCAACCAGTCTGGCTTCAACTCAGTAACCTGCACAAGGTTATAAGGAGAGTTCAATCATAGTAATTCATGATAAATTTAACAATAATTTATGAGTGCACAAAGTATCGTTAAGTACCTATCGCATATACTCTTTGGTGGTAAGCATAAGTTCATGGTAAATAACCCAGCGAGGTAATTCATATAGGAAAGAGAACAAAAGTTGTCTTCAAAGTACATCTAAATTCAAATGCACGCTAGTTTTCTTATCCAGAGTTTTCTAACTTGAAGTGCAAAATATATAATATAACATAAATGAAAGCAGATGAAAACGCTAGGGTGCTTAGTTTACTTATGCAGCTGACTTAGGCTTCGTTTGGGATAATTTTTTTATTACTTCTTAAAACAGCTTTTTAGCTTAAAATTAAAAATTTTGTACTAAAAAATTACTTTAAGCAGTAAAAAAGCCATCCCAAATGAAACCTTTGATGCTTTATTCTATTTTTTTCTCTAAACGTAAAATGTAAATACAAAAATAAACGTTATGGAATAAGAAAGGACTTATAAGAATGCAAGGAAGGTTGCTTGCTTGTGCCAGGCCGGAGCTTGGATGTATGTGAATTGTTTGTGGATTCTTAACAGTTCGGTACGCAACAGCCTTTTGGAGCCTTGCAGCATGATAAAAAAATCCTGAAAAGAGCTTTGAAGTCACTAATTATGCGTAAGAAATGGATAAAGATATAAACATAACAAAAACAGATTTTATGCCTGATGTTATAGCATTCTTGATTGCATCCAAATTGGAAGAATTTGAAACAATCTCAATCTCAACTTTTTCCAAGAGACCTTCTAGCTGGTCTCTGATATCTCTGACTCGTTTCATACTGCGAACCTGATTTTAATTTGAAGTTAAAAGTTATCAAAGAGAGCATCTTCTAAAACCACCTTGTAATTCAAAAATAGAGTATTATTCCTTCAACACTTGGTGTTAGAGCGATGATAATGGAATAGGCCTCAATTTTATTTTTTGTTGTTATAGACTTGAGAGAGCATTGGAGCAATGGTAATGGAATATGCCTGGATTTCATTTTTTATTGTTATGGACTCAGAACGAAATCCTGAGAGAGAGAAGTCTATTATAGGTAGAGAGAAAAGCTAGGTTTGACAACTGTACTTTATCTCTCAATAATAAAATTACGTAAAACACTTCATTTAATCTTTTTAGACTACTGTTACAATCTTAATTGCTAATTGTTGGCATAGGATCTAGATTTAAAGCTCAACATTGATCATGTTTCAACCTAAAGCTTACTTGAATATGAGGCGGTTTATGGTGATATCATAATAAAGTTTCATAACCAATTATAATGCCAGAGTATTAAACTCTTTGCTAGTGGTGACATATAACCTTATATGTCGAATTCTAGATGTTGTTTTGGGATAGTTGACTTTTTTTTCCATGCTGAAAAACTTGGTGCAGGTTTAACATGATCAGCTGAATCATGTGACTGCTTATGCTTTGTGACATTATCTTTCAACTTTAAAGTATGATGTGCTACCCTCAGATAAAAATACATGTTCGAGTAAATGTGGCGTTTTTTAACAATGACAAAAGCTCATTAAGTAGCCTTACTTACATCGGGATTTTTTTTTCAAGTTATTGTTAAATTATTCTGCCAATCTGATCATTAGAATAATACCCTATTTTTGAATTACAATGTGGCTTTAGAAGATGATCTCTTTGATAACTTTTAACTTGAAATTAAAATCAGGTCCGCATTATGAAACGAGCCAGAGATATCAGAGACCAGCTAGAAGGTCTCTTGAAAAAAGTTAAGATTGAGATTGTTTCAAATTCTTCCAATTTGGATGCAATCAAGAAGGCTATAACATCAGGCATAAAATCTATTTTTGTTATGTTGATATCTTTATCTATTTCTTACGCATAATTAGTGACATCAAAGCTCTTTTCAGGATTTTTTCATCATGCTGCAAGGCTCCAAAAGACTGGTGCGTACCGAACTGTTAAGAATCCACAAACAGTTCACATACATCCAAGCTCCGGCCTGGCACAAGCAAGCAACCTTCCTTGCATTCTTATAAGTCCTTTCTTACTCCATAACGTTTATTTTTTGTATTTCTGTTTAGAGAAAAAAAAGAATAAAACATCGAAGGCTTCATTTTGGATGGCTTTTTTACTACTTAAAGTAGCTTTTTAGTACAAAATTTATAATTTAAGAAGTAATAAAAAAGCCATCATAAACGAAGCCTATGTCACCCGCAGAAGAACACTAAGCACCCTAGCATGTCCATCTGCTTTCATTTATGTTATATTCTATATTTTGCACTTCAAGTTAGAAAATTCTGGATAAGAAAACTAGCGTGCATTTGAATTTATATGTACTTTGAAGACGACTTTTCTTCTCTTTCCTATAGGAATTGCCTCGCTGGGTTATTTACCATGAATTTGTGCTTACCACCAAAGAGTATATGCGACAGGTACTTAACGATACTTTGTGCACTCATAAATTATTGTTTAATTTATCATGAATTACTATGATAGAACTCTCCTTATAACCTTGTGCAGGTTACTGAGTTGAAGCCAAACTGACTGGTTGAAATTGCTTTCCACTATTACCAGTTGAAAGATATTGAAGATTAATTGGATAACACTCTGCTTTCTCTTGCTTTTATTTAAAATTCTTTTTGCATTTTCTAACCTTCTCTGCTCTTTTCAACTTCATCAAAGAAAATGCCACGTGGGCCCGGGAGAGCAGCAATGAGCTAATATTTTGGTTTTGGTGTTCTTTCACTACTCCCATATTTTTTAATTGTATCTACAACATGAAAAACATGTAAATGGTGCTTTGTCATATTTTAATGATGACTTGATCCTTAATTAATTATGTAAAACTATGAAATATTGGATGAAATGAAGATTTCAAAGGCTGGAAAGCTCAAGATTTATTGGTTCCAGTTAAACTCGATTAAATATCTAGCAAAACCTATATATGAAACATGTTCAAACAAATATTTGAAAAGTTGCAAAAAAAATCTCTTCAAACATTTTGAAGGGAAGATTTAATATGTTCTCGAGAGCACATTTCTTATAAATTCAAAAAATGATTTAAAAACAAAAGTTCAGCAAACCTGGTGGTCATTAATAGCCTTGAGAAGTTCCTCTCGATAAGGATATATTGGCAGAGATTTTCTTTCTTCCTGTACATCCGTTCATAAATAAATCAATACACTTCAAAAAAGCAGGAAAAATAATTACTATAAAATAAAGTTCATGGATGAAAAATTACCTAACCTCCATCAAAACTAGATGCAAATAAAAGAACACCACAATTACCAAAACATAAAATAAAAGGATCAGGAAAAATAAATCAGGATTTTGAATTACAGCACCTGCAACTTTTCTAACATGGTTTTTGCTGCTGAATCGTTTGGTTCCTCGGCCATCTCATCTTCATGCTATAAAAGAAGGAAATATTCGAAGTTAAAACTAAAGTATACCAGTTTAACAATCTCTTACATGAATTAAATCTTAATCACTGAAGCATGAAACTTATTTTGGTTCACATGCCTGAGTTCCATCTAAAACTGACGCCTTAATGAAATCAATCCCATCTTCAAATACATATCTGGATGTACATTTCAAGCAGCATTAATATAGAAATCTTTTGGCTATAAACAAAATATTTTGATAAGTATAGCTCACAATGGTTAAAATATTTCACAAAGGATTTCGTATGCTCCAAGATAAGAGACACATAAGAATCAAATACGGATTTGTAGAAATTCACATCTCATCAAATTGCCAATAAGCACATAAAAAGATATTTATACTAACTGATAATCATCTGATGATAGCTTTTTATTCTTTGAGCCATATCTTAAAGAAGCTTTACCTGCCTAAAAAAACAGAAAAGAAATGGAAAAAAATCAAGTCTACGCTAAAAGCAATTACTTAACGTGATAGCATCAAGATCTAATGAATAATAAATAAATAGTACCAATTTGATGTTCCTCCCATGCCTCCAGTTCAGCGAATGGGTTCATCTTATCAGAAGAACGAGAGTCCCTAAGTAAAAAAATTTATTGTCAGGAATATTGCGCTAGCTCCAATAATAAGAATCACATGTCCTGAACTATCATATTACATGTTAACAGATGACTAAAGCAACTACAGGATTAAATACCTGTATCTTTGCATGGCTACAGCAAACCTTTTCTCCTGATTTACACCTCCCTCTTTATCATATGCTTCTGGCATCCTATACTGAAAATGTTTTATAGATGATGAGTTAACTGAAAACAAACCATAAGAAAAAAAATTTGACAATAAACTTTCACAAGAACTTTCTCAATAGATGGACAAAAAAATACCTCCTCAATTTTGTCAGAATCATCCATGTGCTCCTTTGCCAGTTCATAAATCTTTTTCTTGTACCTGCAGACAAATATTGTATGAACAAAAATGTTCATTCATTCTGGAGCTTATTCAAACTAATTAACATGAAACACCAATTCCCTTGAATCTACTTTTAACAACTTAATGTGTGTTATAGCTCCAGGATATGCTCTTAAAAACGTTGGAATTTCAAAGTTTCTAATTTACAATATCAAATCATGTAATGTCACATATATAAAGAAACAAATCATGTAGTGGGTGATCGTGGGACGTCCACCCATCCATCCACCGCCGGCCACCCTTCCATCAACGAAGATTTTAGGTTCATTCTTCCTAGTGGTGATCTCTTCTCTAGTGTGGAGCATCTTCTTCCGCTAATT